ACTGAGCCACCCAGGCGCCCCAGGAAAAAATTTTCTTACATAAAGACATGTTCTGTTTTGAATCAACCTCCAATTTCTTATATTTAAAATTTCCTAAAAGTAGTTTTTTAGAAAGGATTGCTAAAGAAAACCCACTGACCAGTTCAACGATCATACCTGAGAATATGGCAAGAGTTAGCTCAGGATAGGCCCTTGCTAATTCCTCGGACAACTGATAGTATGAAACAGAATACAGATGCGGCAGCGGAGACAGCTGGCTGAGTACTCCATCCGTTCTCTGAAGTTCCAATTTGTGAGCATAGCGAAACATCTTCGGTTCCAGGATCTGCAGGAATGTAGATTCAAGATTTTATGAGTCCTCTAAATTTCAGCTACAACTGAAAAATAAAATCTTCTGCTAAGAATTATTCCAGCTTAAAAATTATATAGTTATGCATATTGTAAAGTATTTCAGGTGTTACCTTCTAATTCCCAGGAATGTTTGCAAAAGATCTGTAACTGTTTAGAAGGCTTTATACTCCTTGTGCTTAATTCTAATGGTTTGGGTTAGTAGCATAGTCTGAGAATGACTTTAGCAACTTAATATACAATTACTTGAAGGAGATTTACCACTTTCCAGTTAAAAAACAGGACTATATAAAACAAGTGAAAGAAAAATCCTCTAACAGATCTTGGTTAAATACAGATTAAATATGGAGTAGGAGCTAAAACTTATTTTAGCATTACACTATGTAGAGATACGGCACTGAACCTTCTTAATTAATGAAGACATGAGGGTATAATTCCCAAGACGGCAGCTACCAGCATCAGTACCATGTCAGACCCTCTGGGAACATCAGCGTCCACTTGAATCTTAACGTGGCTAAGAGTGAAGAAACTCTTCCTATTACCAATTAGCTAGATACTGTAAAATAATGCTACCTCCATGCTTGGTAAGTTAACTTTCTAGGTTATTTTTCTTGGTCTAAGAAAGAAAAACTGTACAAGCACATCATGAAAGGGCTAATTACTTTTTACTTGGTTCTCAAAAAAACATTTAGCTCACATTATTCTTATCTGCTGGACAGAAACAGTTCCATGCACACGCAGGTCCTGACCACTCCGTTTTTATGTGTACACACACTGGCACATACAGGTGTGTATGTGCGAGTATGTACCTAAGCCCTCTGTAACGCACTTCTGAACAGTCTATATTATTTGTAGACTCGAGTGACCCATATTATCTTTGTCTTTTTTCTTTTAAGATTTATTGATTTATTTATTTGACAGAGACAGAGAGAGAGCACAGGCAGGGGGAGCAGCAGGCCGAGGGAGAGAGAGAGAAGCAGACTCCCCACGGAGCAGGGAGCCAGATACAGGGCTGGATCCCAGAGTCCTGGGATCATGACTTGAGCCCAAGGCAGATGCTTAACCGACTGAGCCACCCAGGCACCACTTATCTTTGTCTTCTATTTTTAATGATAATCAGGAATTGATGCCATGCCTCCCTATTAAAAATAAAGCCCAGGGGCTCCCGGGTGGCACTGTCAGTTGAGCGTCCGACTCTTGGTTTCGGCTCAGGTCGTGATCTCAGGGTCATGAGATCGAGCCCTGCATCAGACTTCCGCACTGAGCACAGAGTCTGCTGGAGTTTCTCTCTCCCTCTCCCTTTGCCCCTCCCTACCTCGCACTCTCTCACACTCTCTCTCTCTAAAATAAATAAATCTTAAAAAAAAAAAAAAAGCTAAATATCTATATGCTTCATTAAATCATTAATAAGTAATATTTTAACATTTGCTTACAAACCTGTAAAAGTTGCATAGCAACTTCATAGATACTTCGAGAAGAATCAGCTGCTTTAAACAGTATCAGATTTAGGAGCATCACCGTGTCACACTGATAATCCCTAGGGACAAATATTACATGTTAGAGAAGTTTTAGAGGCTTTCACACCATTAATAAATATGGTACACAAAGGGCAAGGCTGCAGACATCAAGTGTTAAGCCTATGACTAGGTGTTTTTTTGTTTTTTGGGTTTTTTGTTTTTGTTTTTTTTTTTAAGGCAAAAGGTACACAACAGATGCATGGTGATCATTATTCTTATTCTGGTTAAATTTCAGTAGAGCTCAAGGAGAGAAAATACTGGTTTCTTAGTATTTCTGAATTCAAAAGGAAACATTTTCTTAAAGAAAAGAGAAGGAAAAAAAAAAAAGAAAAGCTAAATAAAATATGGAAGACAGTATGTGGAGTACCTGTTCTGGAATACATTAGCTATGGCTTTAAAGCAGCCGGCTGCCACTCTCTTGGAACCAGTGTAACATCGATCCACAGCCCAGTACATCAGGTTGCTCTGGTCCGGGTTCAGCTCCAGCAGTAATGTAACTGCCTCACAGCCCAACTGATGCACCTACGTAAAGATCACAACATTGCCCAGGATAAAGAAATTTATGTATTATATATAACTACTCCTCTACATTTTTATTAAAATAATATAGTATATATATTTATTGTATTTAAGCACAAAACTCAGTCTCATTTTGTTCAACTCCTTCTCATTTTATTCGGTCAAAGGAAAAAACAAATGACATGGATAAATTATACTTGGTCTCCTGCTTTTTACCCAAGACTCTAAGCAGTACAATTCTCTCCTCCAGCAGAGCCCTCAAGGCGGCTGATGAATACGAAGAGTGATTAAGTGCTTTCAGAAAAGTGAGTTATTAACCTCTCCAGTTATTTTTATCAAGCTTTATTCTTGTTTTTGATAAGCCAATAGAAAAATTATTCTGAGGGGAAAAAATCTAAGTCCTGTTTTAAATCGTGAAGTCTGTGCATATACAGTAGGAGAATAAGGAAAAGGGAAGGCAAGGAAGATTAATTGGAGAGTGGTCAAGAAAATGATATTAAACATAACAATGTATTTCTTCCATGGAGCTCAATGTATTCTATATTAGTATTTTATTTAAAGATCTAAAACCCTATCGTGAGATATATATATATATATATATATATACACACACACACACTACTGTATTAATCCTATAATATAAAAGGGAAATTAACATTATTTAAACAAGTAATAAGAATTAGAAATTTCTTAAAATATTGCATCCTCTTTTACACAACATGCTTTTTGCATATAATTCTAACCTATCTTATTAAAAAAAAAAAGATTTGTTTTCAGTGGGTCATACTATAATTCCAAAAAATGCAGTGTGATTTATTACAAAATCTTCAAGGCACCATCATAATCACCTTTTTGTCCAGAGAGTCCAAAATGTTATCCAACCATTTGTACAAATAGCCATCTGATGAAAGTCCCACATTATCTGCAACAGGGCCACAACACAGTACAGCAGACATAGCCTTCAAACAATAATATCAGAATTACACTTAAAACATCCAAGAGGTTTTCTGCTGGTTGCTTAATGAGAAGAGGCAGGGTATTTTTATTCATACTTATGTAGCCACAATATCTTTAATTCTTTCCTTTACAAAGAAGAGTATAATAGCAATTTTTGAAACTAAGTAATTTATGATGAGTAGTAAGTAAATACATGATACCAAATAAGGCATGAGCTTGGACAGTACTGGAAGAGAAGAGAAAAAAAAAGACCAAGAAAAAGTACTTAAGTAGGAAAAAAGAGGCGATTCTCAGTTCTTTAAGAAAATGGCATTTAAATTTTGGGTAGATTCTGTAACTTTTTACATTGTATTTTATGTATTTAAATCAACATACAGTTGATTTAAATATTTGAATACAGCAGGCAAATATACTCTCAGGTACTCAGAAGAAATCTATCCTTTTTATACTACTAGGAACTGAGAGACAAAAAAAAATTTAACTGCACTCTTCACGTAAGAAAAAAGAAATCAGATTCCTAAGCAATACCTTCAGTGCACAGTACTGATGTCTGTTAATTTGCATATTTCTGTCACTGTATCTGTCCAAGGGTGTAAACATGATGCTAAAAGGACCTGCCCAGTGACTGAACAGCATAAACAGACTGTGACGAAGGCTCTGTTGAGGGAAGATACTTCTTCTCTGGTGCACTGTACGTAAAAAAAAAAAAAAAAAACAGATGGGAAAAAATTTATTTCCATTTCTTTTTATTTTAACATGCATGTCAACTTATTTGGTATTGAGTATATAACACTGCAAAAAAGCAAGCAAAAGTTTTCATTTTCACCTACCAAAAAACCTCCTTGGTGACAGTAATCACTGATGCACGTGCAAGACCCAGAAACAGGGCTGCAGTCTGACACCATGTAGCTCAGCATTATGAGAGATACAGGATCTCTGCAAGCAGAATTTCAAGGCGGGCAACGTACTGCTCAGAGGCTGGCACAGAGCTGGGACTCAGGACCCTGCTTCTCCCCGGCTGTTGCTGGCTACATGGTAAGCTTGGCCAAGACATCAACATGAACGCAACTCTGGATCTTGGTTCATTGCCAAGACAAAGCTTTGGAATAGGTAAGCTGATTTTGAGCTTTGTATGTTTTCAGCTGCACAGCTATCTTTTTAAAAGAATCCTTACATGGACTCTTGATATACAGAACAGACAAAGGAGGGGCTGATCAACTTGAAGTAAGGGTTGAAGCCTAGAGTCTAAACCCATTCTATTCCGCTGCTTCTTGCTGATGGCACCAGAAGAGAAACAACATCGTTTGAAAACCACTGGTTGAGATGATCTCCAAGAATTCTTTCCACTTGGAAATTCTATCTACAAGTTCTCTGCGTCAATCCTTGTTGAAGAAACTCAACAGTATCTTAATGAACCAATCCGGAAGTTGTAGACAAATGTTTAGTAATGAACTAAATTATATCTTTATGTTAACTGAGCTTCAGATCAGGAAAGCATTTCCCTCTGAAGTTCAAAACAGGCCTCCTGCATTTGTAATTAATGTACCTAAAGAAATGTTTGCAGGCCTCTTTTATAAAATACAACCCATGCTCTCACTCTCACAGAGTCAACTGTTTGCATGTTCTTTTAAAGGTAACAAAATAATTCTTTTACAGAAAGAAAAAGAAACATTTGCATTTACATGGTATACCAAAGGCTACAGTCACATTTTATGTCTCATCCTTGTAAATAATTTATGGTTTTTTAAAAAAAGTAATTGCATATATCAGTATTTCTAGGGCCTAAACCAGTACCTGGCATATAGTAGGTACTGGAAAAATAGGCATATATACCTTAAAGGAATCAATCAGTAACACCGTATCCTTAGCATACCTTGTAACTGCAGCCTACACCCTCCTTCCATTATTCAGCAGTACCTTGTTTATTCTATTCTCAATGACCATTTGGAACATAATTGTTTTTTGCTCATTGTATTTAGAACAAGTTTGCCTAAAGAAGCTTCTTCTAGTGATTTCTTAAATTTTTTGTTAGTGTCTTGAATATCATTAAAAATCTATGTGGGCTTGCTTTTTTTTCGATTTCTACTCACTACACTAGTTGAAAGGTAAAACAAACTCTTGCCATCCATGTTATGCTGACATATTTTTCCACTATGTTCATAAGCTGCTTTATCACCTTAGACTGCAAATCCTCAGGGGAAGAAAGTACATGATGGTCCCTTACTATTCAGTAATGTTTTAAGAAACTGGAAAGAATACCTGGAACATTCTGAATGATATTCGCCACTAAGGCACTAAAATGGCATCGGATATCCTTCAGTGTGTCAGAGTCTTTTTCATTTTCTGCTTCCAGGAGTTGTCTAGTTAAATCTACATATTCCAATAAAGTGTTGTTGAGGAAATGTGTTTCATTATCAAGGCCACCACTTGCACTGAAAATATTGAAAAAAATAAAGAAAATGTGGTTTTAAATTATAATTTAAATCAAAATAAATTCCTAGTAACCAAATTCAGAATAATATACAGTCGACTCTTGAACGACGTGAGGGTTAGGGGCACCTACTCCCACCACCCCAGTCAAATATCTGCATATAACTTTTGACTCCACAGAACTCAGCTATTATTAGCCTACTGTTGGTGGGAAACCTTACCGATAACATAAACCTGTCGATTAACATATATTTTGTATGTCATATGTATTATATAATCTATTCTTAGAATGAAGCTAGAGAAAAGAAAGTATTATTAAGAAAATCATAAAAGAAAATACATTTACAGTACTGTACTGTTAGAATCCACATACAAGTGGACCTATGCAGCTCAAATCCATGTTCAAGGGTCAACTGTTTATTAAACTAGGCACGATCATGGCAGTGTGCAACTTTATATAAAAAATTAAATGAACATGATTTTGGCTTACAAATATAAAATAGATGGTGCTTCTTAATCAAGAAACTGCTATTGTAATTTTTATTATTCAATTCCATATCCACCTTTAATCAACTATTTTGAGTGCTAAATGTTAGTCCCTCTCTGGCAAAATATATAGCTTTTCAAAATAAGGAAATAAGGAGGCATATGGGATAGGGAGGATCAGTTTAGAAGAGTAGAAAGAGGAGGGGTGCCTGGGTGGCTCAGTCGGTTAAGTGACCCACTCTTGATCTCAGCTCAGGTCTTGATCTCAGCGTTGTGAGTTCAAGCCCCATGGTGGGCTCCACACTGGGCATGGAACCTACTTCAAAAAAAAAAAAAAAAAAAAAGATAGAGGAAAGACTAGTTCCATATATTCTCAGAGCTGCCATGCAAATTCACATTATGCCTTTAGTACAATCAATCAAATATCCATTAGGTACTTATTCTCAGCAAGTACTGGGGATACAAAAATTTAAGAGAATTCAAGTAAGAGTGCTGGTTTTCAAGTCCTCTATCTACACCTATGGAGTTGCCTCCAAAATCTCTGCAGTATTTTTCCTTTGAGGCAAGGGTTCTGAGCCTGGAAACCACAGACTGGAAGGGGGTCGTTTGGTTAGTCAGAAGTCTCAGATTCCAGTCTTGTTCCCTCACTTATTAAAGATTTGACCAGTAGCTACTTCAGAGCATTTTAGTAACAATATAAATTAGTTACTATATAAGAAAGGATTAGTAAACCATAAATGCTATATAAATGGTTGGCTATTACATTTACATTTATTTTGATCGTTTTTCCTTGCTATACTTGAAAAGTACTTCTAAAATATGTGATTTTTAAAGTAAAAATAATTTTTAGTAGTTGTGGCCATGAAAACAAGAGTAAGGAGTCACAATGGTACTATAGTATATTAAAATTATCAGTCTACAACAATAAAAGATGTTGAATCATAATGAAATGTTTTCCTTCATTCCTTAAAGGAATGTTTTTAATTTCTGAGTAATGATTTATTACTGGATGGGAAACCAATTTAATAGATTGCAACCTGACTCAGAATAAAACATTCATTTAACAACTATTCACTGAATACCTCCTATGCATCAGGCACATCAGATTGGCTGGGTGAACAAAGCAAAGATCCCCACCTTCTTGGCCTTTGGAATTCTTTTTTTTTTTTTTTTCCCTTAATTAAGGAAATAAAAAGTCCATAATACCAACAGCCTTATGGTACTACTTTCTCTTAAAACAATGAAACCAAAAGCAAAACACATAACTGTGTTCAAAACCATTACTGCTAATGAGTGAACACAGCTTTTGTAAATTTTAAATATACCAATGTCCTGCAGTTCCCCCAAACAGTACCATTCAAAGATTCTTCATTCACTAACACAACAAAAAAGAAAGAAAAAAGATACAGATACGTATTACATTGTTGATTTTTTTCATTAAGGCCAGTGTGTTTCAAATTCTCTTTTCCTAACTTCCACTGTTTTATTTTTGTGTAGGACAAAAAAAAGAATGATGTTTCTTTTTTCTCTTTCTTTTCATTTACTATAAAAGAAAAGGTAAATCAGTGGTCTAAATTCTCCTTAATTAAAGCTCGATTTTGAAAGCACTCATCAAAAGCATTTGATGCTAACTATGGAAGGTATGAGGTACACTAAGAAATAATTAGGACAAATGCCAACGTCACAATACTGCACTTGTTTATTAACATTCATTTTTACTCAAGATCTCTTTTCAGTTACCTTTTTTTTGGAGATGATCAGATCTTTTTTTTTCCCCCTCCTTCAACAGTCAGACAACACAGTTACCCTTCCTAGGGAAATAATTATTTCTCAACCCAAAGCCAGTGGAATTTTCCTCAAGGGGCTGGTCTTAGTGTCCACATGCCTTTATTCTAGCAATAACTCCAGGTTTTATGTTTTCATTGGTGAAGGGTGGAAAGTTATGAATTATGATTTATGTTCATGGATTTCGTAATAGTCCCCAACAGGAGAGAATAACAGTCGATTGGAATAGATTTGCAAACCTTACAGTGTTTAGCCTTTATACATATGATTTTACAATCCAAAAGAAATAGATCTTTAAAATGAGGTAAGAAATCATTAAGTTAGTCACAAAAAAAGGCTACTGTCCACTTGCCTGACTTACTAGATTCCTACAAATATCAAAATCCTAGGAGCATTATAGCCAATTTTTGCCCGAAGCAATCAAGTACTAGTCGTAGATTTTTTTCAATATGTTTTTTAGCCACTGGTTGACGTACTGGATGCATCTTCTGTAAATAACGTTCACAGTGTAGCAGTTTTGTGTTGTGGCAAAGGGGTTTTTCTGTTTTTATATATTTCACAAGAGAAAAAATACTATGTTCCCTAATCGTTCCAAAGTTTTGAAAATCAAAACCCAGCACTGACCTGTGACTAATGACACCAGCATCTGCCAGCAGTTCAAATATTCGTACCAGTTGTACTCGCAAAATGTCTCGACGCCTGCGCCGCTTCATATTCTAGCCCAAAGATATAAAGATATTAAGCGAAAGTCCTTTGGGAAGTTGACAGAAAACCTGCTGGTGTAACTTGGAAAGAATAATGTGCAATGCAGACTTTGATCACTGTAGTGGCTACTGAAACAAGGAGATCCGCGTGGAATCGTTTGAAATTAACGAGCCAAAGAAAATCACATGACATTTTATGTGGCAATACTCCTTGTGTGGGGAGAAAATAACATCCTATAATTTCAGGTGATTTGCTAATCTGACAACTTCAAACAACTGAAGCAGTCAGTAAACTGTTGTCACTGCATGACAAAGAATCCCTAAGATATTCCCCAAAATATAACAAAAAGACGGGGGAAAATAACACAAAGGGGAATGAGAAAACCTCACAGATTTTGCTCGTGCCGAAGTTTTCCACTCCATAATTAATTCTGACACAGAAACTAAATGCAAAAGAAAAAATTTCTCTGACCATTATGGTCTGAATAAATTTGTCTTGTTAGAGCCAAAGTACTAATGATTAGCATAATTGCTGTAACGTCTCCCCTGGATTCTGCTTCCAATGGGAACTCGTGTAGTAGGAAGAGACAGATGCGCTGTATCACTTTCTTCTATTGTTCATTATGTCACTGTGGTGTAACTTTCACAATATAGAGCAACTGGAAACCTACTTAATTAGTCTTTCAACTTTCAAGTCCACGATCCAGTTTCCTGCCTTCCATAGACCAATCTGCTGATGACCAGCTCATTACATTTCCTATTTCTCTTAACTCTTTATAAAGTTCACAGCACATTGTACTCAACAGGATAGTTTCTAAGCAATCTCTGAGGATTTCTGCAAAGTTTTATTGACTTGTTTCCATTCTGTATGTATAGAAAGATTGTGAGTCTAAAGCGCTCAAAATAAATCTTACATTCAAGGCACATCATTGTACTTTATCTATTCACTTGCTATGATGCATTTTTCCCCCTGAAATTCTGAAGTATAAATATTGCTACTTAATTTTGTTTCCAATTCCAATTTGTTTCCAAGTCCCTCGATTAAATCACCCTACACTATAATCAACATGATCATTCTGAAACAAAAGTCTGATCAATTACTAAGTGGGGATACTACCACAACTCTACAGGGCTGAATTAAAGAAAGGAAGTGAAGCCTTACAGATGCCATCTTAAAGTTTCTAAAAGATCACCTATTGTCACCATGTCCTTCTCCTGCTTTAATTCCTCTGTGACATTAATTGCAGTGACTCTCAGTCTTCTACACCAGGCTCATCTAAGGTGGTTTTTAAAAGATTTCTGGGCTCCGTTCCAGGGATTCTCACTCAATAGGCCCAGGAATCTCTAATTTTTAGGAAGCTTTTCCAAGCAGTTCTAATGGCCATGCCATATGGTGCTCACTGGTCTACTGGATAAAGCTGAGACCAGGAGTCTTTCATGAGATAGTTCCTCTCTTGCTTTGCAGCCTGATCCATCTTTTTCTCCATAATATAAACATGCAAAAGCATCTGCAATGTCCACATTCTTTTATAAAGTTTGCAAATGCTGTTTCTCTGCCTAGAATGTCTTTCCCTTGCTTGTCCACTGGGGAATATGCTTCAAACTTCACCTCAAGTATCAGTGCTTCAGGCCTACTTTTCCTCGACAGGCAGAGCCAGAGGTTTTCTTCTCTGCAGTTTGTGCAACCTCTGATCTGTGATTTTATTCCAGTGGGTAATACGTTGTTATAATTATGGTTTGCAATCTATCTGTCCCACTAGACCTGTGGTTTCTAAAAGTTGCTCAGAACCTGACAAAGATCTGTAGATTTAGGGACATAGACCCAGGATTGGCAAAATATGGCCCTCAGGCCAACCCTGGCCCACTGTTGCCTAAAAAAAATTGTTTTGGGATATAGCCCCGTCCCTTTGTTTAGTAGTCTATGCAGACTGAGTAGTTGCAACAGAGACAGTAGGGCCTGCAAAGGTGAAAATATTTACTATCTGGCCATTTACAGAAAAGCTTTCCTGACCCCGATCTAGACCCTGACTGTCCCCACTTTACAGCAATTTAATATGTTTTATAGAATGAGTTTCTGCATAAGATCTTCTGTGGGGGGGGAAGGAAGAATTTTGTATATTAAAAAAATGTTGAGGAGCACCACGCCTGGGTGGCTCAGTCAGTTGAGTGTCCAACTCTTGATTTCGGCTCAGGTCACAATCTCAGGGTCATGAGATCGAGCCCTACGTTGGGCTCCGTGCTGGGTGTGAGGCCTATTTAAGATTCTCTCTCTTCCTCTGCCCCTCCCCACCCCTGCATGCTATTTCTCTCTCTCTCTCTTAAAAAAAAAAGGTTGAAAACTGCATCAGACCATCTTTTACATATTTACTTCTCAATTTCTAACTTTTGGTATAATGTACAGAATACAGAAGACAATAAGTATCTGCCAAATAAATATTTAATGACAGAAAACTATACGGCTTACCTCTGGCCTTCTTTCGAGTGCTTCTTTAATTATGGGATGCAATTCCTCTATTAGTTCCCTAGAAGAAAAATTATACACATTTTTAAATTAATGGCTGAACAGATATAATCTGATGTGCAAATATGTAAATACTAATATAATGATGTGAAATGACAAGTGTTAACCCTAATTCTACTGTTTTAAACACAATCCTCATTGTTTTAGTTACACTAAAACAGTGTAGGGTGATTCAATCGAGGGAATTTGATTTTAAACTGAAAATGTGCTCATTGTCGATTGGGAAAATAAAAAAGGATAATAAGAGAATAAAATGCATCCACGATTTCATCATCTATAAAACTACTGCAGACATTTAAAGTATTTGCCTCCGGATTGTTTCTTTCTTTTTTTTTTTTTTTTTGGATTGTTCCTATTTATGAGAATTTGTTTTTTAAGAAGCTGAGATCATTTTTGTAACCCATTTTTTGCTATTAGCATAATAATGTATTTACTTGTCATAAAATAATCCTCCAAAACCTCATTTATGATGAATGCCATTCCACAAATATAGCCCTATTACAATTTGCTAACCTAGTCTCTGTTGTTCATGTTATCTCAGAGATAAAACATCAAACATCACCTTAGATCAACAGAGGACAATCTCAAAAGAATAAATACAAGGCCCAGCAGGCAACAACAAAGCAGAATCTCAGGCAAAAATGAAGGATTTGCTTTGTTAATATCAAAAACATCAAGAATGAAATAATGTATGTATATAAATATTTCTTCTAAAAATAATCTAATTCTCTCGAACAAGAAGGGGAAAAACTATAGTTTTAAGCAACAGACCAAACCTATAAAATAATCACATCATGGTCTAAACAGGTAGGAAAATATTAAAAATTTACATGGCATTTTATCATTTTTAGAACGTATTTATACACAGTATATATGAGATTTTCATAGTAATTCTGTGAAGAACATTGGGGAAATCTTATTTGCTCAATCAAAATGAAGAAATAAAGGGTCTAATAAATTAAATGACTCGTTAAATGTTACATGGCTAGTTAACTGGTAAATGTCACGACTGATACGAACTGTCCTGATTAGAAAAAACTCTACCGCACCTTCTCTCGAGTAGTGCATTTACTATTTTAGAGCATAGAGAAAACATATGAAAATAATTACCTAAAAGCTCCTGGGTTGGTCCTGCCAAGACCTAGAACAAGGGATTCTGTGATTTCCATGCTCTCAGAGCGCATCATTGGAACTACATGCTTAAACAAGGATGAAGGGGATGGGATGCCAATTATCTGGAAAAAATAGATATATTTATAGCAGCCATTAATGATAGTACATCCAATTAAATAACTTGGCACTTCATCAATATTTCATCAAGGGCAACGAGGAGATGAAATTTTACTGTGAATGGGACTTCAAAATTCACCTGTGGTGTACATAATCTAAAAACATTAAACATGTGTCCAATGGTTCACCGCGAGTTCGTTAAAAGAATCTGGGTTCTGTGAGTCTCTTAATTTCTTACAGATACTTACCATTACATAATAGGCTGACTTCCTCTGTAGGAGGATATTCTGATATTCTATGTCTTTTGATCCATAAAAATAATTAAAATTATTTCTAAGTCATTGGTGTTTAAGACACCCAGATCTTACTCAGTTTTCTAAATTTTCTTCAACCACCTCATAATATTTTGTGTCACAGCATGAAGACTATTAAGAACTGTCCTTATCAAGTATCATTACATAATTTGGGGAAATTCTACAAAGGTATTTAATTATTTAAATGAGTTTTTTAGGATCCTGAGAAGTGTGAGAACTACAGGAAATCAAATAAGGAAAAATGGGCATGAAAATTCCTTTAAGAAATATTATGATGAGGGGCGTCTGGGTGGCTCAGTTGTTAAGCGTCTGCCTTCGGCTCAGGTCGTGATCCCAGGGTCCTGGGGTCGAGCCCTGTATCAGGCTCCCTGCTCAGTGGGGAGTCTGCTTTTCCTCCCTCTGTCCTTCCACACCCACTCTTGTGCTCTCTCAAATAAACAAATAAAATCTTTTTAAAAAATTCTTGTTAGTGTAATATTGGTTTCAGGAGTAGAATTTAGTGATTCATCACTTACATATAACACCCAGAGCTCATCAGAACAAGTGTCCCTTAGTAGCAAAATTCTTGCTTGGCCTGACTGGCTTTGCTTTTTTTTCTCATGTAAGAAGACACAGAGTTGGGGCGCCTGGGTGGCTTAGTCGTTAAGCGTCTGCCTTCGGCCCAGGTCATG